TATCAAACTATTTTCATCAATTACCTTTACTGCGAGCCAGTCTTTATCAGGTGCTGTCTCCAGGAATCGTGCCATCTCCTCCTCGGTGAATACTTTCGCCTTTTTCTTGACGTGATCAGACTGCTTTGTGTTTGCTGATAGAAAACTTGAAAGTGTGTGGTAATTTCTGATGTCAATTTTGTCGTAAGCGAAGAGAGTGCATTTTAACATGGAGTGAATAGCCCACAATGATGTTGGTGCCATCCCCGACTTCACTTTCTGATTCGGATCAATGCCATTGGGTCTCTGCATCATGTGAAAATAGCCCAATACGACTGTCTCATTTATTTTCCTGATATTCTTCTCCTCCAGGAAAGCTTTGAATTTACGATAAGCTCGATCATAAATTCGCCTGGACTTGGGTGGTATTAACATCGACTCAGCCTCCCTGGCATGATCCAGAACGTCTTGTGGAATACTTTGCTCGGTGGCACCCGAGTCGTTGAAAGTGTTGACATTGACTGCCATGCTCGAACTTGAGCTCTCCATGTCTGTGTCGAATATATCGGGGGACTGGACGTCTGGATCCCTCTCGTCACTGTCTGGGATGATGGTATTCACTGTTTTCCTTTTTTTATACCACATAATTCATCCAATTTCGACACAACCACTCTCAATGACACACAACAACATGACTACCACTAGTGGGTTAAGTTGTAGAGAAGGCCGCTAGAGGCGCTGTACAGCTCATCCGACTATACGTTTACCCGAACGCAGAGCGCATGCCCAAGTGGGGGGAACGTCAGGGCACATGGTGACGCCCACTTTATCGCTCCTAGGATGGGTAAGTGAGATTTACCCTCCTTGGAGCACCGAGCGTCTCATTTACCCTCCTTGGAGCACCGATTATTCAAGTGCCGCGGTAAACTCTCTTTACCCCCTCTCGACAGAGCCCNAGTTTTTACGATACAGCAATATAAACTTCGAAACATTCGCCACATGTTCATAAATAGTCGGACGTTCTGCATAGAAAGGAAGATTTTGTTTTGTGAGAATAAAACAAATGGAAACTATCACAATCGCACCCACGAATCATTCAACTGCACTTCTTCTCTTGATATTGTTCGAAACCATGAAAAGTGAGTATTTTGACGTAACATTCGTAGAAATTATCGTTTCCCGAACTGTTCTTGATCTACAATCACTGTTCCAAAGTTAGCAGTCAAATCTTTAGCGGAATCGCACCTGCACATAAATCCTTTCCGTACCAAGTATTCATCACTAATTTTGACATATTTAACTGCGGCGGTGGAATTATCGACTCATGTACTCACGGCAGGCCACTGTGTGGCTGGAATACCAGAATCTGCACTCAAAGTTGTAGCTGGGGTAATTTATTTAAATGACTATAATGCAGTCAAGCGAAAAGTTGAAAGAGTACAGCTACATCCACATTATGTCAATAGACTCGTCAACAGTTTCACAGGAGAAGCAAACGATTTGTTAGCTCCACTCAATGACATTGCCATTCTGACGGTATTTGCCATGGAAAAATCTATATAGCTTCATCGTTAAACAAAATGTTTCTAGAGAAAAGTTTGGACTTTTTAGCTTGATCGTGCATTTGAATGGGGAGATCATATTGGAAAAATGTCTCTACCAACAGCCACAGTAGAGGCTAGTAACTATACTTGCTCCATGTGCTATTTCGCTGGATGGGGAAGAACGAGAGTATGTAAACCTCCTTCGATGCTCCTTCAGTTCCTGGTGATGGAAGTTTTAACAGCTAGAGAGTGTAAGAAGAGACACCAACTTGTGAGAGTACATGAATTTTGTGCTGAAGATGTCTTCCGAGAAGGAGTTGCTTTCGCTGTAATAATCATGCACATTCTTCGATCCATGTAAAACGTTTTTGATTTGATCAATCACATTTTTCGCGCAGGGCGACAGTGGCGGCCCACTTGTTTGTGATGGTGAAGCTGTAGGTGTTTCCACAGGTACGCCTGGAGTACCAGGAGCGCCAATAATTTTCGCCAGTGTTTACGCTTACCTAGAAATAATCAATATTGCGTGTGAAAATTAGATTTTGATTTTGATGTCTTCTAAGTAATGATAATTGTATGGGCAATCCTGTCTTTCATGTCATTTAAAATACAATTTTTCATTCCAATGACTGAAAAAAAAAAATTATGTTCTTTCTTCCTGAACAATTATGAAGTTTTTTGGAGTAACCTTCTTGATAAAGCAGTCCGATTTACAAGTATGGAAACATTACGATTCCTGATAAACTCTTAACACTGCAGAGTCGTATAAGTTTAAAAACGGTCGACGCAGACATTCAAAACTATTTCGAGTTTCGGAATACCAAGAAAGGAATTGTTGTGCGCGAAAATGAAAGAAAAATTTGAAAAAACTGAAATTTCAACCAAAAAAATTTTTACGTCGATTTCCTTCCCTCAAATTGTTTGACGTAATTGCTCGTAAGCGATGATAGATAATATGTAAAAAATCTTATAAGTTGAAATAATTTCTGTCGTAAAGTTACCAAACAACTTGACAACGGATCCGGCGCTATACCAGGATTGTTTCCGTATCAAGTATTCATTACTGAATTCGATCAATTCATCTGTGGCGGCGGAATAATCGACGCGAGTCATGTGCGAGTCATGTGCCGGCTGGTCACTGTGTGGTTGATGTACGAAGATGGGCCCTCAAAGTCGTAGCTGGCGTAATATATTTGGGCGACAGTAGTGCAATCAAGCGACATATAAGTCAGATTCATGTGCATCCAGATTATAGCTCTGACATCAATGATATTGCTGTATTGACGGTATGTATGATTAGATACATTTGCAATACTTGAAAAAACAAGTGATCCATTGCGAGGGCCTAACTCAAGTATAATTTTTTAAAATAAAAATTAGCAATTTGCTTGCGAATGGATTAATCGAATTAACACAAAAAAGTGCATAATCGGTTTTCTGTCATTAATTTCAGATTAGTAATTAAACTGGTTTAAACTTCCACTGAACATTGATTAAGCCTTGACGAAAACTTAGTTAAACCCTGATTAACCTCTGACTAAAGTCTGACTAAACCCTGACTAAACTCCGATAAAACCCTGGTTAACCAGGATGCGATCGCCACTATCTTCAAACGCGACTGAGATAAGATCCAAACGAATATTTCACGCCATAATTGAAACGATTTCGACGATTATTGTTTGAATGATCGTCGAAAAACTAAATTTGAAAAAAAGCTCCTCTACATACATACATCCATATGGACATGATTTAAAAACAGCATATTCGAACACTTGAAATCAAAATTAGTCATCATCACACAAAAAAAGGAATTTTCAGATTTAACGAATACAATACTTCCATTCGGAAGCAAAATGGAAGTTTCTTTGACAATTCAAAGTTGCGCACGGATAGAAAAGGTGGAACGATTTAGTTGCCGTTAACGAGGCGTCTTATCTATTACTACAATTCGTTAACTATTAACGAATCGTGGTAATAGTTGAGAAGCTTCGTTAATAGCAATTAAATCCTGTTATGAGTGTAGCTTCAAAGGCCTCTCGAATGGCAGAATACCATTGGATCTATGGCATTACCGAGAACCAGAGTTGAAGCAACGAACTTCAGTTGCTCAATATGTTATTTTGTTGGTTGGGGACAAACCGAAGAAGGGTATGATCCCCCGTCGGGAATGCTTGTATATGTGGAAATGATGATCTGGACAGTTAGAGAGTATAGAAAAAGAAGAATGCTTCCATCAGTACCCGAATCCTGTGCTGAGGATATTTTCGGAGAAGCGATACCACGTAATGTAAGCAATTGCGGAAATATTGCGAGAAATGTGAAAAAGTTTTTCGATTGATTAACTCATTATTTTGTGTAGGGAGACAGTGGCAGCCCAATTGTTTGCAATGATGAGGCTGTGGGTATTCTCAGCGCTTGGCCGACGGTTGGAGGATCAACAGCACTGTTTGAGAGTGTGCAAGCTCATCTGAATTTCATCAACAATGCACGCAGAATTTAGCTTTTAGCTTAATATCTTTAGATGGAAACTGACGTATTGGTGATAATTGTCCTTCTCGCATGGGACTCACCATAAAGCACAGTCACTGCTTGGAAACTTTTTCTGCTTCTCCACAAAATAAGGTGTTGGCAATATTTTTTCAGAAAAGTCATTTTTTTATTGTAATGTCATTGAAATGAGAAATAAATCAATTGGATTACATTAGATACAAAGTCACCGTTTTCAATTCTTCCATGTCCGCTTCTAAATTGTTGCTGCAACTTGTGGGAAAAAAATGCATAATTCCCTACGTCTTCTTATTTACATCATCTGTGAACTCAAAGTTTTCGTTCGTATTAAGTGTCGACAATTGCATCACGCCCACAATAAAGGAGAATGAGAAGAAGATACCAGGTATCACATCGATATAAGGAGCGAATTCAAAAATAGGTAACGGTAGAGATCATCTGCATTCTCTTGATATTGTGTACAGCAATTCGAAGTAATTGACGATAAAGGAAATGAATTCGTTAATCCGGCTGTGGCTGCGAGTATTCTCGAATGTCGGCACACAGATTAATTAGTTTTATTGATATCGCATGTTCAAATGAGCTTTTCACTTTAATATCTTTGAAGCATTCTCAAGTATTCGAAATCTGTTTCCAAATAATTATGTTTCTATTAAACAAAAAAACACATTATTTCATTGTGCGTCGTTGATTATTCGTTGAGTATCTTCATGACAAATTTTGCATTAGTTCTTCTTCCGCGAAAACGCACTATTTCAATGCTCTTGAAACAACCTTCGTCATAAAACAGCACGTGTCAGAAGCAAAATATGAAATCCACAAAGATTTCTCACAAATTGCCGTTATGAAAAGCAACATAAACTCCGACATATCCGGTTTAGATAATCAAAACAACTTCAACGTTCTGAAAAACGAGAAGAATTCGCTTGTAGCACAGAATATCCAATTTATAACTATGGGACTACCATCAGCGTTTCTCTTCTTGACAGTGTTCAAAGGCGTTGAAAGTAAATGACGATGAATTAGAAACAAAGTTCTCAACTACAAAAAATTATATCAATTTCTATTGCAGTTGCCAGTCAAATTGACAATGGATTCGGCGCAACACCGGGACACTTTCCATATCAAGTATTCATCACTGAATTCGATAAATACATCTGTGGTGGTGGAATAATTGATGCAACTCATGTGATCACGTCAGGTCACTGTGTGGCTGATGAGCCAAAATACAGACTAGCAGTGATCGCTGGAGGAATACATTTGAATGACGATAATGCAGTCAAGAGAAATGTCGTCACAATTCATGTACATCCCAATTATATCCGTGCAGATATCGATCCTGACGCAATCGGACAGAATCCTTCAATGAATGACATCGCCATACTAACGTATGTTCCACTGATTTTATCTATACAGTGGTCGTAATTAAAGGAACATTCTCTCAAAGTCTAAATTTTACAGCTTAATTTCAGCTTTTCAGTGGGAAAATCATATCAGGCCTTTGCATTAGCAACGAATATAGTTGAGGCTACAAACAACCAGTGTATACTTTGTTATTTCGCTGGATTGGGGCAAACAGGAGAACTTGGTTCTGATTTGAGACTACTGCAGTACATAGTTATGACAATATTAACAGTTGAAGAGTGCAGAGAGTGGCAATACAATAGAGTGCAGCAGTGAATGAATTCTGTGCTCAAGACATTTTCCTAGAAGCAAGCGGACGCACAATAAGTACTCCCTGAGTGATAATTTGTACCTCAGGTTTCCTGATCTCAAATTAGGTACAGATCCGACAGCAGTCAAAATGTCCTCATTCGACTCTCGGATCAGCATTCGTTCAGCATCTTATAGTTAAGTGTCTGGGTCCAATGCAGCTAACTCGATGCTGATTTTGTTCTAAAGTCATATTCCACGCAGGGAATGCCAAAGCTGAAAAAATGGGTCGAGTATAGCATAAGCCTAGACTTACCAAGACTTGGCGCCCAAGCTTGATTGGAGATTCGGACATCTTTTACGGAGACTGCGCGTGGTCCTTTTATCTGTCCCTACCTGGATATCGGATTTCAAAACTGACTAATATCAGACTCTATTGACCCTCTAATGTTAATCAGTTGCTACTCATGGCGTTGTTTCTCCATAAGGGCGGCGTGATCCGTTTTTTCAGGAACTCTCGTGACGTTTCGTGTCTCATTGGCATTAGACGGTTAAAGCTTACTCCAGTCTGATTTGAGTTTCCACTCGGATCAACGTAAATACCTTCGGATTCGATAATTCCTATTTTCTGTGTAGGGAGACAGCGGTGGGCCGATCATCTGCAATAATATGGTTGTGGGCATTTTCAAAGGATCAGACGAGCGTCTAGGCTCTCCACATATTTTCACCAGTGTGTATGCTCATTTGGATTTCATTAATAGTACGCTTGGAAATACAACTGTGACCTTGTGTGCTTCTAGCTAGAAACTCATAACTGTATTTGTCTTTCCGGCCCCCACGTACGAAAAAACGAATGGGCCGAGCTTGGCCCAAGCTCGGTGGCCGGCCTGCC